ATCTTCAGGTCATGAGCCTGATGAGTTGACCAATTCCTCTACCCCGCTTCGCTTTTATTCGAAAAGTTCAACTTGCATGTGTTAAGCATATAGTTTCAGTAGCATGATTTTACCTTCTTAGCGCTTTTCTACTACCGGAACAGCTTAAACCTTCCGGAGGATAAAATAAGCAAGACTTTCAACGCTTTCTTTTTTTTCTTTTCTTATGAAATTTCGAGTTTCCCCCTCTCCTTCTTGTTCTAATTAAAATGCGAGCATATTGATAACCTCTCCTCTCACTTTCTTCGAGCTTCTTTATCTACTTCTTGTTCTAATTAAAATGCGAGCAACTTCGTTCCTTCCTCCCTTCGGCTTTCAGAGTTTTTGAACTAAGCGGACTTCGCATTGGCAGCTGAGCTTCTTCCGATCCTCACTCAGGCAATCAAGGAAAGGGTCGTGAGGATCCCAACTCTGAGAGGAAGCCAACATTGACTGACTTTCATGGTTAAGATTCGACAAAAAAGAAGAAGAACCAACAAGATAAGATCGAGCGGTCTCTGCTCCTCTCTAACTAAGAGGAGAAGCGGAACTTTTTCAAAAGCCTTGCTTGATCATCCTATCAGTCATGGTAACGGATTGAGTCTCTCTCTTTCGGTAGCTGGTTTGACTCTTTGTGATCGAACAAAAACAAGATATGTCGTAGTAAAAGCTAGACTGCATAACCTTGTACAGAGGGGTTCTCCTCTACCTTGTGCCGCCCAACAGAGTCTGTCTGGCAGTTCTCCAATTGCTTTGTCCTCCAAATCTACCCGATGGGAAAGTGAGGGTTTCAGTGTCGATGAGAGACCTGTGAAAGAAGAGCGCTTTCGGATGAACCGCATGGGGCTTAGAAGTTCGCTGATGATATGGATTCCTTCGTCCCAAATCGACAACTTGCTATGCTATGCTATGCGCTGTGCCCTGGGTTGAAAAGCCAGGTAGAGACTAGCCGATCAAACTCGTCACTAGATGACTATATGATATGAAATTTCTTTTCTTGTCCGTGAGACCTAACATATGTTTTTCGCCTGATCTACTCCTGACGGTCCCGTTGGGAAAAAGAAAGAAGAAGAAAAGTAAGGGTAGTACCCGCCCGCTGCGCGTGGTCCTGTGTCCGAGTAGTGCTTTTACCCTACTCAAATGGATGAGTGAGAGTGCACATTCGATAGTGTGCTCATAAGCAAAAGCACCCGTGAGTGGGAGCCCGGGACAGGCAGTCAAGTGCCGGCGAGACGTACAGTGTGCTAGCGGGATGGAGATGGAATGGTGAGCAGTCTCATTTCTATCCTCGGACAAAAAAGTGCTTATATCAACCCCTTCTTCGAGTGATTCATAATGCGATATGCATGTACCATATATCCCAGAAATCGTAGATCTGAAGCTCCGCGTGCTCATCGACAAGGCCACACCTTCGGCCGCCGGCAAAGTGGGCCAGCATCGAAGATCCCAAATTGACCAGATTTCCCAGAAACATCAAACGATTAATGGAAAGAGAGAATGAAACTATGCTATTTTGTTTCAGTGGGATGGGAAGGGTTGCAAAGAAATGAAATTTTGTTTTGGCGGATAAAAACAGGGTTCCGTCGCGGTTCTGTTTGGAGAACCATCGTTGGATTGTCGTTTTTTTAGGGTAGGATTTGGGATTTTCGTGCTGGTTTCGTTATCCTTTTCACTGGAACGATGGTGAGGAAATGGGTGGATCTGAGGAAGAATGAAGGATGCGAATGAGGAAGGTAAAGTTACCCTCATTCTATTGTCCTGTACGACATTGTGTTCCATCCGGTCAAGCCTTTCCTTTTTTTTTCTTTGTGTTTTAATTAGCCTTTCCTATTTCAAAGCTGCATAAATTAATAAATTCATAATTTGGTGGGAAAATATTTTTATTTGGTTCAAGGTTTGGGAAAATCCAAAACAAATAAATGGCGGGATAGTTTGGGGAATGAAAATTTATATTCATTGTTTCTTTATTTTTTTTCAAATTCTAAACCTATGTCCTCAATTTAAGTATCTATAAAATTGTTTAAAGTTACCGCTCATATAAACGAGGTTCTTTTTTCGTATAAGTTCATTAGATTAAGATCTACTTAGGATTCAGGTTTAAACCCTTTCAAGAACTGAGGTACCCGCCCCCGCCCCATTGCCATCACTATCGACCCGTGGATACCCGCCCACACCTTCGGGTTTATATAGATTCACTAAATAACTGGTTAGGTTGAGATTGCTCGAATTCTACAGATTGGTGGTGAAAATTTTGTATGGGAAATTTGTGATTCAGGGTTTAGGGTTCAGGATTTAGGGTTTATGGTTCAGGGTTTAGGGTTCAGGGTGCAGGGTTTAGGGTTCAGGGTTTAAGGTTCAGGGTTTAGGGTTCAAGGTATAGGGTTCAGGGTCTAGGGTTTAAGGTTCAGGGTATATGGTGCAGGGTTCAGGGTTTAGGGTTTCAGGTTCAGGGTATAGGGTTTAGGGTTCAGGGTATATGGTGCAGGGTTTAGGGTTCAGGGTTTAGGGTTCAGGGTATAGGGTTTAGGGTTCAAGGTATAGGGTGTAGTGTATGACAAGTGGGTATAATAAAGAGAACATAAGTCTTCACATATTTCGATCTCAAATATTACTCAAAGTCGGCCGATAAGCTCATTACAAGTACCCAAAACCCAACTCGATGTCTTATTCCTTGCCAGTTACACTACCATGTGCTTCTTCTGATCCTCATAGTAAAACCCAGAGCCCAACATAACCCAAAATACAGAATTAATGACCAACAAATCTGCCATGGGCAGAGTCAGGATTCCATGTTCAAAGGACTAGTTTGGATATTTAATGATTGTGAGGCACTTGGGTATAAAATTATAACAAATGAGAAATAATTGATAATATCAAACATATTTAACTTGATTCTGTTTGATTCGTTGTTTGTTATTTGATCCATTATTCTTATTTATAGATGACACAAATGAAAATATAAAATTCTTTGATGAATGAAGAGACAGAAATTGGGAAAGAGTCGTCCAATTTTTTGGCAGCGTGGCTATCACAAGAGCAAGCGGCTCTCATTGAATAGAGTCGTCCAATTTTTTGGCGGATTAAAAAGGCGGTCTTCTAAAAAGAGTAAGAAAGGAAATTTTGAAAATGTTAAATTTTGTTTCACGTTTGAATTTTGCCTCCACCAATTGGTTAGTTTGTAATAATAAATTTAGTGAGAAATGAATTGCAAATAATCTTTTGAACTTTTCCTCCAGCAAAGCAGTAATCTGCATTAGTAACGGAAAATAGAGGGAAATATTTTTTTGGATTAATTAGAGGGAAATTTAAAGGTTATTAGTTATTTTCAGTTATATTATCCAAACATTTTTAGATTCTTTTATATTATCCATACCTATTAAAATTCTATTAATTATCCAAATATTTCATGATGCATCAAAATATTAGCCATTTTTACATTATTGAGAAACAACGATAGACAGAAGTCAACCAAAAGTCAACCCATTGAATATGACTCGTTTGCATGTGTTATGCTACTATGAGAACTGATCGTGCGGAGATATAGGGTTCAGGGTTTAGGGTTCAGTGTTCAGGGTTTAGGGTATAGGGTTCAGGGTATAGGGTTCAGGGTTTAGGGTATAGGGTTCAGGGTATAGGGTTCAGGGTATAGGGTTTAGGGTTTAGGGTTCAGGGTTCAATTATCAATTATATAATTCTATGTCCATATTTTATTGCCTAGAGGTTGTAATTTTTTTTGTAAATGTCTAATTGGGCACCATATATAAAGGCGTAGAACACAACCTATAAGAATGGCACTTGAGCTGATAAGAATAGTGAAGGCCTTCTTATTAGTTAATATCTTCAGCCAATATCACTTACCCAATCCATGTAAAATCATTCTCCATGAGACCATGACTTAGTAAACTATAAAAAAAGGTCGAAGGTAAGTGATTACTCTTTTGTCAGACCCACATCCTATATTGTAGGACCAGTAAGATCGACAACAACTCTCTAATTTGATGCTGCAGATTGACGACATAATTGATGATTAGCTAAAGAGTACTTCTCTGTTAATTCCAACCCCAAAAGGATGATACCGTACACTAAACTGGCAGGAAAGAGAAACCCTTTCACAACCTGCAAGGACCAATTCGAAGGAAAAGGAGACAAGAAGCTAATTGGATGGACATGGAAGAAGATTATTCTCTATTTCTACCACATCGACAAATGGATAAGAACACACATTCACTTACCTATATAATAATAGTAGCGGTGTCCATTGGGAAACACCAAACCATAGCTGGACTTTCTCGTGGCCCATTCCATCGAAGTCGGCCAAGAGTTCTGTCTAATTAGGGCCCGACGAGTAGAAGAATTGAAGAACTCTTTTTGCAGTTGAGGGCTTGAGATCAGAAACAACCAACATTACTACCACCGAACAGGCCCAACAGTGCAGCAGGCGCGTTCTCCCGTTGGCCGGCTAGTTGTAAGTTTGGGCTGTTGATAGAGGCCCATTAGTTGGGTTTGGCTGGCCAGAACACACATTCACTTAAACCATAGAAATACAGTCTATCAAACACAAAAACGTTTGCATAACAAAAAAATCCAAAACCAAAAACTTTTCCGCTTCCTCTTCCCTTCGTCGCCTCTGTTCCGTTCCCGGCGAAGACATCAATCGGACACTTTCATTGCATGGTCGGGTTTGGCTGTCCTCCTATCTGCCTGATTCTCAAGATTTTGCCAGCATCTCACAATTATATTTTCTTTCCTCTCATCAACAGCAGCGAAGGTTTCCGCTTCCTCTTCCCTTCGTCGCCTCTGTTCCGTTCCCGGCGAAGACATCAATCGGACACTGGTTCATTGCATGGTCGGGTTTGGCTGTCCTCCTATCTGCCTGATCGACATTATTCTCATCCCCAAGAATTGATTCTCAAGATTTTGCCAGCATCTCACATTTATATTTTCTTTCCTCTCATCAACAGCAGCGAAGGTTTATCAGGCCTCTGAGAAGCTCCAGTCGTCGGTGGAGAGAACCATTCCACAGGTGCGTTAGTTTCAATACTTTCTGAAAAAATGTGGTTTCATCTATTTAAATAAGGGACATGATTAGTTCTTCTTGATTCGATTTAACTTTTATGCATTGATTCGATTAAACTGAATCTGGAAAACACCTTAGTTGTTGCAGACGTCTTTAGTTGTGTGCTGGATTTTGTTTGAGCTTTGTATTACAAAGCAGGCTCAATTTTGAGGTTGCACTGATAGGTTGCACAACTCTCCTGGCAACGATTTTCCATCCCATCTGGAGGTTTCCCATCGCTGCGTGTGCCAGTTGTAGTTGTACCACATCTTTGCTGTCTGCATAATTATTTGTACTTCCGAACATTCTTTTATTTTGATTTTGCCTTGCATGTCTTTGTTTCTGATGCCTAAGATGTGTCTTCTCTTCATTTGTACATGATTATTTGATTAGTGTCGGAACTCTATCCTGTTTTGATATAGTCGTTAAGAGTCTCTTTGGTTTAATTCAACTGAAATACGAATTGGTTATTAATTCAACATTGCAAAAGTAATATGCACTGTGGTCCCAAACAACAACTAACATAGTTTGTTTTTATGATTCTAAAAATGGCAGATACTGCCAAAAATAGAGATTGAGCAGAAGGAAATCAGTGTGACATATATTTGAAGATGGACATCATACCTCAATGGAACCCGTAAGTAATGGTTTCCCAACCAACTCATAATAAACCATATTCTTGTGTTCTCATAACTACTCAATACAATTGTTAATAATCTAAATTATAGGTTTTTTACCCTGGGAGATGATTTGTTACGAATCTAAATTATCAAAATGCCGTGGCAATGTCTGAGACCGTTGAAACTATAGATCTAATCCCAAAGCAATTGGATGGTGATGATCAGGTGAGTAAGATAAGACGTTTGTTATCTATCCTTCTCTATCTCTTATGTGATTGATTTGCATCTGATTTGTTTATTTTTTTCAAATCATCATCTTTTGCATTATATCAGGGCACTTCGTACATTTTCTCTGCGTTGTAACAGAGCTGAGGAGATCTTGGTGTGATGCATCCAGAGTATACTTGATTCACTTGACCATTGAAGATGACATTACTGATGTTGAGGTCGTGTTCCCATCATCATACTTACGGAGAATCATTTCTTCTGTAGTCATTCCTTCTGAGATTGACAATGCCGACTATGTTACACTTCTCAACTTGATTGGTGACAAGTCATATGAAGTCATGGTCACAATCGGTCCTTGGAACAACGTGGGGAATTATTTTGATCTATTCTTGGTTAAGTTGTTCCTGCCTTTAGATAACTAAGTAGCAATTGGGTATTATTAATATGATCGGATTAATGTTATTAATGGTCCACCTCTCTGTAATCTCTCGTGTTCTGTAAGTGTAATGGATATGTGAACGCTAATAGCTTTTGTAAGTTTATTATCCTTTTGAGAGGTGCTTGATGTAAAATATGAATTTAAATTAGTTATGGTACTTTGAACAAATTAGATAAAGTAGATGTGACTTGATTGCTTTTGTCAACAGTGGAAGTAAATTCGTTTGTATTTGCATTGAGTTAACAACGTGAGAATTACACAACAAACCTACTATTAATGCATTCTAGTCCCAAATCTCTTCGATTCATTATATGAGCTAGTGTAGTGAGTCTGCCAACTGTCCAACCAATTTAACACAAATTAAAACATTCAAATTGAAGAGTGAAATGGGAATAACCATAAAGTGAATGACTTGATATGTGGTGAAGCATATCTAATGATCAACAGAAGAATCAGATCGATATGGAACAAGAGATTTTTTGCTCACCTTCCGGCTCGGATTTGGTCAGAGCACAATGCAAGTGGATAAACTGGTGTTTCAGAGACCTGGTCTTTGATTACTTGTTTCATCTTGAAATAGTTTACTTGACACTTGTCTCGGAGAACGGCCTACAAAGTTGCCCCTGCCTATAATATGAACCTCTTCCAACGAGTTGCCAAAAAAAACCACCTTTGCTGCTACTACTACTATGTCTCTGTTGAAATCTTCTGCCCTTGGGGAGATGACACCTGCTAGTCCCCGGGTTGTTTCGCGATTGCGTTATGCCGGATGAAGGACATAAAGAACCATTAGGTCAATTGAATTCCAGTTCTCTTTCAGGAAACCATTTCCCATCAAGAGACTGCATAAAGGAAGAGAAACAGTAGTAAGAACCTCACTCTTTATCACTACAGTCTACAAAGTACCAGCAAAAGATATCACGTAAATGCAAAGATGCATATACCTGTCCATCAAGAGCGGCAATGGCATCGTTCATCTCCGTCTCATCAGCCATTGTCACAAACCCGAACCCACGTGAGCGGCCGCTGTCCCTGTCATACACTACTCGAGCATTTGTGACCTTGCCGTGCTCGCTGAAGACTTGCTCGAGGCGAGAATCATCGACACTCCATGGTAGGTTCCCAACGTAGACTCTGCAACCAGGTTCGAACACACGGGGAGCCCGCTCCGGCCTTGATCCTCTGGGAGCAGCTTTGTTAACTGTCAAGAACCTCCCTCCCATGTCCTGTGTACATCACCAAGTTGAACTCAGTTGAAGGTATATCAAACCAAGTTTGCTCAGAGTGGAATGCCATTAGTTCAAAAGTTCATGAATATCCTACTAACATACAGACAAGTCAATGATGGCTGAGTGGAACATTCCACACAATAACACCTTTCACTGAAATGCAGCATAGTATTATAGACCAGAAAGTGAAAGTACTTATTACTTCAAGCAACTGTTTAAGAACACACTTTCAATGAACCGAACCTCTCTAGCTGGAAGATACAAGAGTTGTACCAGTTGAGAGAAAAATTAACAATTCAAAGCAAAAATGCTCAATTGCAAATAAGTTCGCTAATTCCAGCCAACCCAACAAGATTATCAATCTCAAAGCTTACATTCGTCGAATTTCAGCAGTAAAGACTCACATCTTTCAATGCAACTGACAGAGGCCCAAACTGTTTAGCTATCAGTTAAATACCCTTGCACAGTTTTCATTCTCACACTACTATCCTCAGCCCCATACCAGCAATCAATCGTCAAAAACAAATGGCAAAGAAACGGTGAACTTACATAGCTGTTGAACTTATCGACAGCCTTCTCAGCTTCTTCAACAGTACTCATGGTCACAAATCCGAAACCACGGCTGCTATCAGTCTCCCTGTTGTAAATGACCTGCCAACAAACAAAAGACAAAAGAAGATTTCACAAAGATGCAAATTAGAAGTTAAATCCTAGTAAAAAAGGTGAAGTAATCCATCGAACAAACCTCAACAATCTCTACAGTTCCATCTTGCTCGAAGAGCATAGCCAATTTCTCACTATCCACATCGTACGGCAAGTTACCGACGTAGCCCAAACAATAATTACCATCATGTTTTCCCTGCTTAAAGAAGCCAAAGAAGAATAGTAAACGGGATTCTCTAGGTAGATATGCATCCTCAAGTACTCATGACAAAGGACAACACGGGAGGATGGTTTTATTTAATCAGAACCAATTCTCAGGTCAGCCTTTGGAACCAGAACTGTCACTGAATAGAAAAGTTTCATAAGGTTCTATACTGTTTTCCTTATATCTTAGTGCTTGATGCAGGTTCCCTAGACATGCTATTCAACCAGATGCTCAATGTGGATGAGTTAGCTGAGCAATTAAAGCACCTTAACATCAATAGGGAACGCCCTAAAACAACTTCAGCATTAAAAGAACTAGTTCCCTACAGGGCCAGCAAAAGCAAAAAGAAGCAGAATGCAATGGTTATCTACAGAGGGGATGATAGGATGGTTCCATTTGAAACCGTGAAGAGAAAGCGACCCAGGGTATCCACATCGTATGGCAAGTTACCGACGAACACTTTGGCGTCCTCCGACGGCTCATGCGCCTCAATTGCATCATCCCCATCTTCGGCGGCGGCGTAGGAAGCCACCGGGCCCTCTTCGGCTGCCGAATCCTCGCCTTCTTCTTCCTGTTCCGAGTCAGCAATGGTGGATGTAGTGTTCTGCTCATCCTGCTGCGCCCAATCGGAAGTCTGGGCTACGAAGGGGATAAAAGAAGGGAAATGGAGGTGGGTAGTGGGTTTGAGAGATAGGGAGTGGGAGAGATGGAATTTGAAGGGTCGAGATGGGATTGATAGAGCGAGGAGAGGATGATCTGGGCGGAATCAATATGAAGGTGGAGGGACAGTCGGGACGAAGAAGGAAGAAGAAGAAGAGGGAATTAGGGATGGTCTGCTTTGATGATGACGATAACCTTTGAGTGGATGATGACAATGAAGTTTTGATTCATTAACAATTCCAGCCAAATTTTAATGGAGAATCTTTTTTATCAATTGTATAAAATTTGCTGTTGAATAATAGAACTCTATAAAATAAGGTATCACACGAGAAAACACGATGGTAATTATTGTTCGGGGACTTCATAGCATATATAATTATTGAAGGGGTGTAATTTGTAATCATAATCTTTATTAAATATATAATTTTAATATAATTAATACTAGCCGTTAGATTAGATCAACGATCTGAGGACCTGGAGCATGCTATGCGCCTGGAGCATACGAGTCGTATCCACACACACACACACACATATATATATATATATATATATATATATATATATATGGATCGGTTGATCCGTGAGACTACATTGTTTCTGGATTGTTTGTGATGGATGAGACAAAATGGAAATGGTTTGATTCGTGATCATATTAATTCACGTAGATGTACAAAGGCCCTGCACTTACTGTAACACCCTACCCTATACGTTTTGCCTAATCATATTGTTCATACAATTGCAGCGGAATTAATCTCGGGTGTTACATTAATTATCAAGATTTACCCAAATAAAATTTCGACATGAATTACTCGCATAATGGGCTAACAGTTCTTGCAACTTATCCTGAAAAATAACTCGTCACAAACATATATACTCACAACCATAAGCATTGGCTTTTCTTAGCCATAGTCACACTTTTCATACTCCACAACTGCATACCATACCATAATCGTCACAACTTACACAGTTACACAACATATACACATATCATCAACTTTCCACACCTGTGGATATCTCACACTACATCAGAAGCTAGTATGCACATGAAAAACGTTCTCAAAATATTTTTTTACAAAAAAGTGTGGGTCACTGGCCAAAATACCGAGTAGTAGTCCAAGCACAGAATAGTTGAAGACCATACCTCATCCTGGCTTCAACTCTAGCTCCTCTCCCACCTAACACTTATATACTGTTGCTGCTGATGATCTGCTTACACATAGCATAAGCAGAGAAGAAGAAGAATAAAAGAGGGTCAGCTCATGGCTGAGTGAGACAATCATTCCATTGTGAGTTCATAACAAAGCATACCTCTATCATACATCTAGCAATCAAGCCAAAACACTAGGATCGGACCTCAACCATCCTCTTATCCCGATAGGCAAAAGACTCAACCACCTTGACTTATGCATATGCATCTTATCATGTTTTAATCATAGGCGCCTGCCTACTCCCATGCTAATTACTCTCCCGGGAATACAGACCAAACATCTCGTGTGGTCATATCGGACCCACCATTGCCGGTGTAGTCATATCGGACCTGACACCACTCTGGGTGTGGTCATATCGGACTCAACACCACTCTGGGTGTGGTCATATCTCACGATGAATCAACGGTCAACACCACATCAGGGGTGTGACATAACATATCAAAACGGAGTAACAGAAGGGGATCCCTAATTACTATGTAATTGACCATGAGACCAAAGTACTCTTAATTGGTATCCTTATACATGATCCATATCTCATCTTGCTAAATCATAATTCGTTACTTGCACATGTACTTGACCTGGCCACAATTGGCTCAACATAGGCAAATCAGGAGTCGTATAATTGCACTTCCTCGGGATAAACCCTCGTGCAAGTCATCCTCCTTAAACATCATAATATCACCAGGGAATATATATTTTCCCACATGTGCATCCAAATACAACAATCATGAAAAATCATACCCAATCACCTTTTCGAACCATCATAAGGCATATCAACAGTCAAGCCCACAATTTGCAACATATACGAAATCATCAGCATAAACAAGGTCCATCCCGATTAGGGCAAGTCAATAATATCATACAGTAGTCCATGGTTCATCATATAGCACAAAAGTTCATACACCCTTAATCATACCATTCTAGTTCACCTAGGTCAATTCTAAGCATAAATATAATTATCGTGATACGACAAACCCGGTATGCCGTGCTAATCCCTCACTAGTTCTGGTCGTTCAAAAACCGGTTTAACCTTCCCGTACTAAAACGTCAATTTCACGAACGAACCCCGAATTAAAATCTGAGACCATCCTAATATCCCCTGCAATATCCCCGTCAATATTAGTTCTAGGCTCCGGGTCAAATTCTTGATAAAAACACATCAAACCCTGCCAGAGCTAAATTCAGCGATCCCGCCTCCGACTAAATAACAGCCAAAATTCATGGATTAAAACTAGAGGATTGATTACCTCGTTGCAGGAAGCTCGTATATGAAATTTGTGCTCAATCCGGCTTCCGGATACTCTGAAACCCTAATTTGGCTTACCGGGAATTCAAGAAATTCTTGAACCAAAAACTCGTTTTAAAGCTCTAAATCGATAAATCATGATGAATAGATGAATTATGCATTACTTACGGGATTTTTGGATCACTAGGGCTCAAGATTGGAGTTTGGAATTTTTCCCCAGTCGCTCCCCTGCCTTTCGCTCGCTCTGCTTCTCTCTCGGTCCGAAATTGGGGAAAAGATGAAGATGGGAAAATATGAAGAGGGGGGACTTAAATGGACGGGTATATATAGTGACATTTTCAGTGCACTCACTTTTTTGGGTGCATTTAATGCACCTGCCTCATAATTATCATTTCGAGCATGCGATTCATGTCATTAAATTTCAAAATTGATGTATTATGACCTCTTTTAGAGTTGAGTGAGTGCACCGAAGTAGCCACCTATATGGTGACGTTTTCAGTGCACTCACTTTTTTGGGTACATTCAATGCACCTGCCTCATAATTATCATTCCGAGTATGCGATTCATGTCAAAACGGTATCGATTGTCGCTTATGATATTATGAACAAGAAACACATGAATTTGTGCAAAAATTATTTTGGATTTATTTAATTTTAAGGATTTAGGGTTTAGCGATTTAGGGTTAGGGTTTAGGTTTCCAATTTGGGATTTTGGTTTGGGATTGAAAATTGAAGGTTCGGGTTAGGGTAATGGATTGATTAGTTGTGATTCTATGTTATATCTTCATATTATACTGATGCTGCCAATTAAAGTTCAAAATCGATGTATTATGACCTCTTTTAGAGTTGGGTGCACTGAATGCACCCAAAAAAGTGAGTGCACCGAAGTAGCCACCATATATATATTGTTGATGCCAAGCTCCGAGGAGCCTGCTTCAATGTGTTTGAGGTCTGGTGAGTGCCGACTTCCAGACCAACGTCCGCCACCAGCCTCCGAGATGGACACCTGCAAAAGAAAAGGACCTGCCGGCGGTGTGTCGGCGGGGACCTGCTCCGAAGCTCAAGTCAGTATTGATAGGAGAGTAACCGGGAGCGACATATTGAACCGGCTCTTAAGAGAGATTTAGAAGTTCAACTCCAATATGAACTGCCGAGAAAGCATAAATGTGCATCCTATTTATAGGAGACTCCTGCTTCTGGCATGGGTGGCGTACTTTTACTAGTTTCTAGTAAAATAATTAAATTAAAAAACACCATGATTGCGTATAAGTAACCACCCATGTAGAATTACTAGCCTCACCAGCACAATAAACCACATACTCACATCACTAGCACGTATACAGAGGAAATTATATGTATACATTCCCACTTTTCTCCACGTACATGTGTATGTGTTTTGGGTGGTTTGAGTGTGTGCTGGTCGTTTATATATGGTGGATTGTATATATATGTACCCTTAATCCATCTCATAGTGTTACGTGGCATTAGGGGAAATGAGTGGTCAAATGTATTTGGCTGGAGAGTAATGTATACTTTACCAACCCAACAACAAAGATAAAGGTCTAGCTTTTTACATGGACATGCATAGCTAAAGCTTAGTGGTAAATTCCCATATCCTCTATTTCCACCCACGTGTAATGAAAATGGGTTGTTTGACATATAGTAACTAGATGATTAATCAAGTAATCATCCACCTCATGTCCACGTGTCTACAGGGAAAGATTGGATGGCCTTATTTATGTTTGTCAAGCAAAGAAACTAAATATAATTCAACCAACAATTCTTCCCTTGGCACGTATTAATAAAATATGGGATGGCTTGCTTAAAGAAACTTCATTTTCCATCACTTCCTTTGCTATGTGCATGTATGTCATTGGAGAAACTCTCCATGGGTGGTTAACTAGGGTGACTCAGCTTGTTACTAGTTTGGTCTATACCCGATCATGAGAGGAAAAATGGGGTGGAAATACATAGTTGCCTCGTTACTTTCCACGTGGGTTTGCCACGGGAAGTGAATTTGGTGTTTATGCTTGATGTATATAGAGAAAACACAAATGCAACACCAATTGCATTTGGTAGTAGCTCTATGTGTAAAGAAGAAGAAAAAGGTGTATTTTGTGAATTTTTGTGTGACTAATTGATTCTCGATAAAATTAATATGATATGATGTCGGTTGAATACAGGGTTCATCATATATACATATATGGTGCCTTCTACGGTACCCCGGGTGAAATCCGGGGTATTGCATACCTTGAGTATGAAAACGCTATCTAGACCTCAAATTAGCACGATTTTTGGGCATGATACTATACTCTAACCCTTAATGAGTGAACCGTAGGTCCTAATTATCTAAATCATAAACTAAAAACCCTAAGATGGTGTATTAATTTTTTTGCCTATATTTGGACGAATCATAACCGTTGATTATTGTTTCTAATTAAATTGATCTTGGGGTATAAGATTTAGAGAATTAAGACCTAGATTTTGATCTTTATGGGT